GTTCAGATTTTTCATGTGGCCCCCTATAGAAATTAATTGCTGACCCTTGGCCTAACGTGACTAATGCATTAATATGATTTGATACTGCTTCCAAAGAAGCAACCAAATATATAGATTACTCATACATGTTATCAGTTATTGTTTTTTAGTCTTTAACATGAGGTTTTTCTCTTGTGCAGAAATCTGACGATGGGGTTGGTTATTATGTGCTTCCATCCTCCTGAACAAAGAGGACATCTCTCTCTAAGTAACATGACTGTGCCAGCACTCCCAGGAGGCAATGAGAGGGAATCTTTGTGCCGGACATTAGATAGAGACACCCAGTTTGCTGAATAAAGATCATCACTGGCACATAAACTGTAAGTGAGGGGACATGGGACTAAGGTTCCCACACAGAGATTCTGAAATCTTGTGGAGGAGGAGGATGGTCAGAACCATTAGCCCACTATTTAATGAAGTAAGGTACTGGCCCGAGGGATGGAATGAAGATGTTGCAGTCCTAACATGTAAGAAAGAAGGTGAAATTTATCATCTGAATTACAAACCAATTTATTTACTATCAAAAGTAAGCTAACTTTATATACAGTATCTCCCGGCAAACTTTAAACTGCAGAGAAGATATATTCTGTCTGAGGAACAAACGGGATTTCAAGAAGTGAATTCAGGGACTAAACACTGCTTTGTAATTTCTCAACTGGTTCATAAAAATACAGAAATGCTGCATTTGCTCATCTGATGGCAGTATTAAATTTTATCAACACCGTATATCTGTGACACAAATTGTAAAATGACAGAATTCAGATAGGAAATTTGGGAGAATCAGAACGGAATAATTGAGTTGGAAAGGTGAATATTGTTACTAATCTTTCTAGTGTTAGTCAGATACACTGGCCTATAAGCAACAGACCAGTTTCTCTGTTGCTTTTCTTAGATAACCCAGTCATCCTGTGATCCTCATGTGTGGATTTAAGAAAAGTAATGGGAATTTTCTGCAGTTGAACTGAAATCTGAACTGTTAATTATCAATTATTGCAGAACACACATTATGGTTATGGGGAAAGAGCAAAAATCTCATAGGTGATTTATGATCAGACACCAAATCTCTGAGATTAAACAGTTCAAATAAGCATTTTTACCATCTCAAGCACTTTTAAAGCCCACACAGAGGCAGTCAGGGCAGGGGTGTAATTAAATTTCGCTAAGACAAAAGGGGCCAATTCATTGAACGTACCGTTAGAAGTCTATCAAGCAAGTCATCCTGCCTACTGCTAGCTGAAGCCAACATGTTGAACTTAGATTCACCAGTAAAAGCAGGATGATGGCATACTATTTAATGGACCAAAAATGTCAAGGTCAACATGGACTGGTATCCCAGACAGTGGCTTTGGTATTTGATCATTAAAACAAAGTTCCTGCCTGGATTTCCAGCAATGCAATGAGAAATAGAAGTCATTAATTTTGAGAAATATATTTCACATACATATTTATATGACGTGTTGATAAAGAATGATAGATTAACACTTTCATTTAGGATTAGAAGATGTCCCATCTTACATGTATTTCAAACAAAACTGTGAACAAATGAATATTCTCCTTTCTGCAGTAACATCAGATGGGTTCAGAGAATCCTTTACAGGAATACCAATGCCAGTGTGGATAGCCAGCACAAGAAACCTTACAATATATATTGCTGCAAATTAAAAAAACGGTAAAAGCATTTTTTTTTTTGGCTGAAAGATCAGATTCCCAGAATCACATTTGACTTGGTTAGTTTTTCAGTGGCAGTCTAGTTTTTTTTTTAAAGAAACAGCTCAAAGCTCATAATACACTGCCAACAAGACTTCATGTAACAAAACAAGTGAGGAAGGGGAGGGGGGCATCAAAGCACAAGTTCTTACTTTTGCCCCCTATTAGGTGAAAGGAATGGCTCTTGGTCAAACAACTTGCTTTGTTTAATTTTTGTACTGTGATCTTTTGTCCTTTGTAACTCATTATTCTATTTAAATGACAGCCTTTGGTTACCTAATAAAAATTATGGTGGTGGTTAATACTAAACAGCGCACAGAAAACATTAAGCACCACAAGGGGACATATTTTATCACTTGCCAATGTGTGAGAATACAAAGTGTAAACAAATCTGGGACATACTTTTGTTGTACAAAACTGAAAACTGCACTTAAAAACATTTGAGCTAATCCGTATCACACAAAAACACTCAGGAAACCCACTACAATGGAGGACAGCCCTCAGATTAAAAGAAAAGGCATTTTTATCGCATTCTTTTCATCAGTACAACTGATATATAAAACACTGACATTATAAATTACTTTTACAACAATTTTAGAGCAGAGGAAACTGAGTTTCAAATACTATTGTAAATATTTAAAACTACTGGACGACTTAAAGAATTATCACATTTAAAAATTAAATCTCTGATTAAACTCTATTGAACTGATAGGTTGACCAAAAAGTGCATCTCTGCACTATTGACAGCTTCAATTAAATACAAACAGCAAGTGCTTCTTAAAAGTATGTAAAATAAAGCAAAACCTAAATGTGAAATATATCAGTGTGCCAGCTTCAGTCAGAGTGGGATGAATTAGTAAGACTTAGGAACAATAAGGAAAGCTTTACTAAGAATTCCTATATTTTAAAACCCACTAATGAATGAATACAACTTGTGGTTGTTGTGGGTTTTTCGGGCTCTTTGGCCGTGTTCTTCCTAACGTTTTGCCAGTCTCTGTGGCCGGCATGTTCAGAGGACTGGAGTAGCACTCTATGCTCTGGTGCAGATTGTTTGAATACAACGTGTTTAAACTCTTTCTTGAAATATATATATATGTTTTCAAATACTCTATTTATATCAGCTCCTACATCTTTTCCCTGTAATGGAGAAGATGTAGGAAGACATCAAAGCACAGCAAAACAGCTGAAACAGATATTTGCCAGGATTGCTCTACTAGCATGTTTAGTTCTCACTGACCATGGTTTCAAATACAATTTATTCTGCTCTATGTCTGTTGGCTGCCCATTTCTAAAGTCTCCAATGCAGAACAAGCTGGAGTCCTCTTCTCACTTTCCAACGGAGTTCAAGCAATCCTGTGTCAACCACTTATTACCACCCAGGAAAATAAGTTATACTATTCATCAACAGTGTTTCAAGTATGTCTTCTTCAGAAGCCTTCTTTCTAGTAGGGCATAATGGATATTGCCATTTTCCATCAGTATGCTAACATCTGGTATTTATAACTGACAGAAAACCTAACTTTTAAACAACAGTCACCAAATCCCACAATGCAAGTATTAACCTGAGGGTAACAGTTAATGCGAAGGTGCACAGCAAAAACTTTCATTTTTTTTTCCATTTCAGGGGTTACCTTTGGTGTTTTGTTTTGTTCACTTAGGCTTTATCTAACATGAAAGGGACTGGTTCTTTTGTTTTGTTTCTCCATTCATTATCTGGATTCATTCATTATACAGAGCACCAAGGCTATGGGGACTTTCATAATGCACAAGCATCTTCACTTACAAATCTACTATCACCACAAGCCAGCAGAAGCCAACAGAAGTGAGAAACAGGAGACAGATCTTTATGAGCCACGGTAGGGCAAGCACCAGCGGAGAAGCCCAGGGTCTACTATACTAACTACACATGTTTTAATAATGTAACCCTCCTTGTCTTCCTGAGCATTAACAGACCCAGCTATGCATGTTTCCTCCCACTGATGAAAATTTTGCTTCTTTTTCTCCTCAGATCCAGCAGCCATTATTAGCACAGAACTATTTCTCCAGTTAGGCAAATGATGTCTTTCAGCTAGACATGGGGACAAATATAAAAATGAATCAGGATATTCAATGAATATCCCTGATTTGTCAGATATTCGTTGCTTTGTATTCTTGGGGTCCCTTTTATATTCATCCCTTCATTCCCTATCTGCTTATGCCCCCACAGATCAGCTGTTCCTCGGGGGCATAGAGAAATTTTCCCTTTGGGTGGCTCGCTAAAGGCTGCCCAAAGGGAATCCCACCCCCAAGGCTGGGGGATACCTTGGTTCCCCTTTCTTCCTCTTCCTACACCCACACGGCATAAGAGGAAGGAAGGGATCAAAGCAATCCCCCAGGGCCGTGGGATGGCTTGGGCTTTCCTCCTCTTCCTATGCCCCCATGGCAGCATGGGAAGAGGAAGAAAGGGATCAAAGCAATCCCCCACCCCGCTGCGCTGCAGGATGGCTTGGGTCGGGGTTTCCTCCTCTTCCTATGCCCCACTAAGACCCCAGTGGCTCTCTTTTAAAAAAAAGAAAGACCCAACAAACTGACAAATTGATTTGTGGTTTGATGGCCCAATGGGGGGCAATTCATGGCTCATCATGACAATCCACGAATCAAGACAAAATGCCATTTTGGCACTCCATCTCTACTTTCAGCTAAAGATTTTAAATCTGGGAGAAATTTTAAAAAAGATCAATATCCATTGTTCTGTAAGCAGGGAGAAGCAACAAGTTGCAACAAACTATCCCTGCCCTGCTTTAAAAATGAAGCTACAATGTATTCTGTATAATGAAAATGGTAAAATTTGGTCTTGCTTTCAAGTTTTTAAAATATATTTTTAACATTTTTTATAATTATAACATACACATAAACATATAACACATAAACTAAAATACCATTGCAAACAAAAGTGGAATAGGCCAAATATTATTTGTTATATAAACCCCAAGGGCAAAATGAATAGCACCGGGGGACCCTTGTCTTATTTAAAGTAAACTTTCCACACTGTAAGCTCCCAGTTCTAATCATTTTGCCCACCCAATCAACCAACCTGATTCTCATCCCAGTCTACATTAACACAGCTTGTCTTCTCTTGGGTTAATGTGTCCCTGTATGTCCCTGATTTGCTCTTTGTGACATGTTAAGCTGGAATACTCCTTTGCTAAGATAACCAACTTACAGTTAACAGTCCAGACAGACAGAAAGCTTGCACACACACATGTATATATGTATATATGTGCATAAAGTTTCAAGAACTCAAATGAAAGACTTGAAAAGAAAATCTGAGCTAAATTACTAAAAACTGAATTGCACACACAGCTTCAAAGGTTTTCTTATAGGTAATGACTTTAGATGTACAACAGAAATGAACACTCAGCAAAGAACGTTGTGCATAATCCACAATCTGCCTTATGTAAACAGGAAGGTTCCGACCTGCTAAAATGAGTCTGCCCAGTTTGGAAACATCCTTCCCCTACTTTCTAATCAGTAGGATGCCCTGGCCCTTTGTATTGCATTTTGAGGATCTGAATGAGACAGGGGAAAGCTCACTACTTTCATTTAAGATGCACATATTGATATACTTCAATCTGGGTTCAACCCATTTTATGCTAGCATTTTAATATACATATTCTGCATATATTACAAGGAGAATCACAAATCAGAATAAGTGAAATCTGAATGCCTCTTTGAATGTCATTTGATTATATAAATCTTGTACGATTGTCCATTGTTATTAACAGCCGATTTATCTCACTGATAATTCCTGAAGTATCAAAGCATTTAATTAAGACTCTTACAATGGCTTTACATCAATAATCTTAAGGGAAATGTGTTCCAAACTATTTATGTTCTAGCTAGCTCATGGTTTAAGTATCAAACTGTGGAGCCAGAGGTTGGAAGTTTGGTTCCCCACTGTGTCTCCTTGACAGGGACTGGACCTGATGATTCATAGGGTCCTTTCCAGCTCTGGAGCTCTAAGATTTAGTAGCAGTAGCAAATGCAACTTTATCAAACAAAGTAACTATATGATGTGTTCTCAAAAGTTTTCATGGCCAGGATCCAATGGTTGTTGTTGGTTTTTCGGGCTGTTTGGTCGTGTTCTCGACACAGAGTTCTAGCTCTTCTCCTCTGAATACACCGGCCACAGAGACTAGCAAAACGTTAGGGAAAAAAACCTCCAGGACACAGCCAAACAGCTGGAAAAACCTACAACAACTAACTACATGATCCTCGAACAAATTATTTGAATTTGTGTGTAAGGTATACTATATATTTCATTATTATTGTATGCTCTGAAATCTTTAGATCTAGTTTATTGTAAGTATTTGTGAAAAAAGAAATACATTGCAACTATGAAATTGTCTACATTCTAGACAGAAGCCTTACACAGACTGCAGTTCTCAAGTTTCAAACCCTGAATATACTTGCTTCAGTGGATTAATTTCCCCAACAATATATGAAATTAGTCATGTAGATCTAAGCCTCCTGCTGAAAATTTAAGAACAGGGAAAGGCTTCTTCTCATGCTATTTAAATAGCAAGGGGCATATGCAGTAAAGTCCATCCTTCTCACCTGTCTGGTTATCTCCATGTTCTCTCAGTTGCGCCTCAGGAACTCTTCCTGCCCCTCCTGAGGGAGAGCAGCAGTTAGCAAGTTTAGAGTTTCTCAATTATGTATAATGTATATCCTTTAAACACTTAATGTGCTAAAAACCAATTAGAAATAATTTGCCCACTTTAAAAAATGTGAAAATAAGGATTGCTATTAATTTCTGGTATTTTTCAGAATCACTGTTTTCATTCAACAGGAGATCTGAATTCCAAAATTCACTGAAATTATTGGAACCACAAAAACAGTAGACTAGGAATTTCCATATTAAGAATTTTTGGTGCACTAGAATTTGAGCTACCTAACCATGCTACTGCTGCTTCCACATCCATATTCTGTCAAAAACTTCGTATTTCTCAGTGAAAACGTAGTGTGATATATGCCACCCTACAGATCACATCATTCTTTTTTAAAAGTCCATGAAGAATATACAGAAACCACCACCAAAAGCAAGTATATCCAGGACTGATTTAAATATAGTGACTGCTGCATAGTAAAAGAAATACAATTCCAAATATTGTTAAGATCATTAGAACATAATCAGGCATCCAATGAATTAATGTGATGCACCAATAAAAAAAAGGGAACCCACTGGACAAATTGCAGCAAAAGGAGAATCCTTGAGAAAACAGTATCAGAAGGATTGTGTGCGTGTTTTATGTGCATGTGTGTTTGTATGCATGCATGCATATTCCCTCCCAGAACTATAGTTGTAGCATGTTCCTACTGAGAGAAATTGCAAGATGGGCCATTTTAAAATGAGCCAATAAACAGAATAACTCAACCACTCTAGTATGGCAACATATGTCCCCGCAAGTTCATACATTTCTTAGCCATCTTTCCAACCCCCAGTCTCCTTGAACAGTATAAGTTTGATAAATCATATGTAAGATGTGTCTTACATATGATTTATCAAACACTATTCTCAAAACATATGGCATAATTCTGTTAACCTTTCAAATGCCAAAGAACTCTATTGTTCCTTGAGCAACTCAAATGAATACAGCTCTCTGAAAACACTATACCCTTTGTGACACCTGTTTAAATGTTGTGTGCAGGGGCCCCTGCTATGTACAAGTGCACAACCACATAATGATGGGAGTTCTTGAAGCTGTCCCATTTTATTCTACAGCCTGACAAGCCAAGGCAACTGAGCCACCAGCAACGTACTGAACATGGTGAACAGATTAGCCCTGAAGATGCAGAACATTCCTGCATTATAACAGTATTCTAATTCATGGTACATCCTTAACTTTCATGGCCTGCTGGAGTTTTTTATTCCTTTAGTCACAAATCCTAAAATACCAGCTTGATAAACTATCAGTTCCTTTATTATGATCAATAGATCAGATAAAAACTAGTAACAGAATTATATAATGGGATTTACTAAATACAAATTAAATATACATTGTATATTAACTCTTAAAAACAGAAATTTCATAAGATAATTATTATAATTTTTATATGGTTTTGATTAACTGTGTATGAAAGAGCAACTCCAGCAAACAAGATCTTCTAATCTCACTATCTATTGCATCTACTGCAAAGCTCGTTATTTAAAAAACAAACTCAGGCATACAACAATTCATATAAAGGATGCAAATGTAGTCTTCACTGCCATTAGCAAAGATTATAGAATCCTTATGAGAAACATCATTATCCTTAAGATCAAAAGAGAATTCAAAAACTATAAGGGAACACTCTTAGGATAAAAAGAGAATTTAAAAAACTGAAATATGAAGTTAAACATACTTATTTCTTTGCTATTTTCAAAACTGAATCTCTGAAAAATAATGCAAGAAATAACTTTAGTAGTTTAAATGTATATAGCTGTTACTTACCTGTGATGGGTATCAGTTTCCAGTGTATTCCAGACGTGTGAATGTTACTTGAGGTGGAATGCTGCCTGTGATAGTTCTGCTCAACAGGTGTACTAGAACAGGGGCTGTTGCAGCCATCGAAGCTGCTTACACTTCCTGTGCTTGCATCCTAAACAAATTTACAATTACACTTCAGTTTTATTAATATTGTTAGCGACCTTACCCTAAAATATTTCTATATATTTATAAAAACAATAAATTTGTTCCATTATATAAAAGCTCAGTGTAGGTAAAAATCCTTCAACTATTTACAGAAGTCCTTCAGTCATTTACAAAACACATTATACAAGTAAGCTTCCTATGTATGTTTACTCAGAATTCTACCTGTTGTTCAAATGGAACTCACTCCTGTGATTATGAGTGTGATTAAAATTTCTGCCTGAGAAACTTAAAAGAACTGTGTTTTATTAATATTCAGTCAGGTTTTCTACTAGTAAAAATCAATTAACTTTGTGGACTAGTCATTTTAAAAAAATACTGCAGCCTTACATATAAAGATATCTGGACCACTGAACCTGTTAGCAACATCTTCTTGAGATGATAACAAATTCAGTCATGTTCACTCATCTTTTAAAGCAACATAATTGCAGGTCTTTAGAAAGGTTGGGTGGGAACTCCATCAGAAGAGACAAAGAAATTTGCTTGGTGCTTCATTTTGTCTCTTCTCACTGTCCTACTTGGATACAAAAAACAAACAAACAAAAAAAAACCCTAGGGCCTTCTGCCTACAAAGTATACATTCTACTAGCAAACTATGTTCCCTCCCATAAGGCAATCATTAAACAGAATTCTGCCCTAATATATTCTCCATTAGCTCAACACTTTTCTTCCCTTCTTCTAATTTTACTTATGAAGGCTTCCTTCTTCCAAACAGGGTGGAGACTTACCATTTCTCCCCTCACTTTAAATATTTCTGTTCTGTAACTGTTCTATCTCCCACCTTCATAATGGAATACAAGGGGCAAAGTGGTGAAAACATAAACTGTCCCATGTTACTATAGCTGTGAATAGTACAGCCTGTCAGCAACAGACTACAAGGGAAAAGTCCCTACCAAAAAGACAGGAAAATCTATTTCAAGCTCAGATTAATGCTGATAGTCCTTCTCTACTTCAGTGTAGCATTACAATGTAATTGATACACATACAATTGCTCATTCTGGAAAAAGCTTCTTCAGATCAAACTAACTTTCCTCTCATGTCACTCTTGCATGTTTTCCGTTATTTCTCTAATGCAGAAATGTCTACCTAAGTGCATTTTCAACTGAGGCTCAATCTACCCTTCTTTTCTTTTCACCACTTTAAAAGTCTTTAAGGCCTTTACTCAAGCAATCAAATATGAGAGGTTGTAGACATAAATGCTAGAAAACATCATTCTGTACTGACAGATCATCCTTTTCCCACCCAGTATTCTGTCTGTACAACAAAAATAAAACAAAAGTAGTAACAGTCTACAGTTGAAGTGGATTAGTAAAAATCCTGAAGGACACTGTAATCCATTAAAAAAAGCTCACCGTTAAATAAATCTATTAATCCATTATTATTGTTATTATTATTCAAAAACACCAGGCACAGTTAAAATTATAAAAACACTGACGGTATTATATAACAGATACAAGTTTAACCAAAAACCTAAGTATCTGTTACATATCAGCACAGTATGTATGCTGTTCCTAATATTGCCATTTTTGTAGCTCTGATGGTGTGATTTCCAAGATCTGCAATTGCTTACAGTACTGTGGTTTATTATTATTATTCACTATCAAGGCAATTGGTGGCAACCCTTTCCAGGGTTTTCTAGAAAGAGAATACTCAGAGTGGTTTACCATTCCCTCCTTCTGGAAGCATTCTGGACTGTGCAACTTACCCACGGCCACACAGTCAGGCTCTTCTGCGGGGAATTGAACTTCCAACCTCTGGTGCCACAGTGAGATTCTTAACTTGCTCTCCAGTCAGAGCCCTTACTCTTAGGTAAAGGTTCCCCTTGACATTTAGACCAGTCGTGTCCAACTCTAGGGGGCGGTGCTCATCCCCGTTTCCAAGCCATAGAGCCAATATTTGTCCAAAGACAGTTTACGTGTTCACGTGGCCATCACAACTAGACACGGAACGACGTTACCTTCCCATCCTGGTGGTCCCTATTTATCTACTCGCATTTTTACATGGTTTCGATAGGAGCTCACTCCGTCATGTGGAATCAATCTTACGATGGCTGGCCTTCTGACCTTGCAGCACAGAGGCTTCTGCGGTTTAACCTGCAGCGCCACCACGTCCACTTATCTTAATGTGCCACAATACTATTTTTATTTTTGTTATACAAGCCAAAACAGAGCAGCACAACTACCATTTAAAAAAAATACTTTACAGGTTTTGGACTACAGCTCCCATCCTCCTTGCTCACCAGTTATAAGTGGGGCTGACAAGAGATATGATGCAAAATTGGAAGATACTGAGAAGAGTAAGATTTGAAACATTTAGGTTCTGAAACTTTTAAAAAGGTTCTTACTTTTAAATGTGTCATGTGAAAGGTTGTATCTGCTTCAGTGGTAGAAATATCAAGGGAATAAGGCAAGCATGGTGCACTGGTTTCCAACTTGACTGGACTGTGGGAATCCCTGAATGGAATATTTTCAACATGTGCTCTACCAGGAATTTCAGGTTCTTGTTTAACCTGCAGAGGATTGGGACTGTACTCCACATTTTGTCTTGAATAGTTTTCTGCTGACGACTGTTTAACGAATCTCCCCAAAGGTGTATCCATATTACTCAAAATTTCTGAAAGCAGTTTCAGGACAGTGCAATCAGCAACGGAAGGTTCAGACACATTTTGTCTCAAGTCAGTGTCATGTCCACCAAGATAATCTATCACTGAAGGAACCGTTTCTGGAGCTCTATTACCTAAACGGGAGGGGGGGGAATAGAAAGAGAGAGAAGAAAAATAGGAGATTACTCTAAAGCTTTCTGCCAAATTTTAAGTCCATTGACATAACTAAGAAAAGACAGAATAAAAACAACTTTCAGTTGCCACAATTTGAGGATAACAAAAAGCATGCACTGGAACAACAGAGAGTGCTTACTGAACTAAATACAGTGGTGCCTCGCACAACGAGTGCCTCACACAACGATGAATTCACACAACGATGCCTTTTTCTGTTAAATTTGCTGCCTCACACAGCGATGTTTCCTATGGGGGATTTTCACACAACGATCTCCATTTTCGCTCCTGTAAAAGTGTCTTACAATGTTTGGACGCTGTTTTAAATGATTGCAATGGTTAGTCCACCTCCTGAAACCTATGCAAACTGATTTTGGTGTTGTTCTGACACTTCGTTAATTTATGATGATTTTTTGTTTTTTCTCCATAGGAAACCATTGGATGGTCTGTCTAATGGTTTCCAATGGAAAAAACAAAAAATCATCATAAATTAACGAAGTGTCAGAACAACACCAAAATCAGTTTGCATAGGTTTCAGGAGGTGGACTAACCATTGCAATCATTTAAAACAGCGTCCAAACATTGTAAGACACTTTTACAGGAGCAAAAAAGGACTTCGCAAAGGCATTGAAATGTATTGAGTCGGCTTCAATACATTCCAATATAGGAAACATTGTTTCACTCAACGACGTTTCCTATGGGGATTTTCACTGAACGATGGCAATCCGTTCCAACTGGAACGGATTAACCGGTTTTCAATGCATTCCTATGTGAAATGGTGTTTCACAGAACGATGTTTCACACAACGTTGATTTTTTTGGAACCAATTAACATCGTTGTGTGAGGCACCACTGTACTCAGATTAGTAATGAAAAAAAAGTAAAGCTAGAACAGACATCCTTTGTCATAGCAGGCAATCTCACTAATCGCAGATAAACATAGTCCAGATTTTTCAGTGGTTAAGCACCCAAGCAATACCACCACTTAAAAACAAAGGACAATCTTTCATACTACGCACAGTGGTTAAACATCTTCAGGTTGCTTATCTGTAACTGTGGTTCTTTGAATAGTCACCAATGAACTTACAGGAGTGAGGTTCTTCAGATGAACAGAACCTCTTCAGAACATTCTAGAGCTGAACATGTGAAGAGTCTGGAAATCATAGTAGATCACAAGCTAAACATGAGCCAATCATGCAACACAGCAGAAATGCTGTATTCGTTCATTTGTTTAGTCGTTCAGTCGTGTCCAACTCTTTGTGACCCCATGGACCAGAGCACACCAGGCCCTCCTATCTTCCACTGCCTCCCGGAGTTGTATTAACAGAAAGGTAGTGTATTCTGCTGTGTTCTAGTGTAGTGTGTGGGATAGTTGAGTATTTGTAGCTGTGGGATCAGCTTTTTGTCCTTTTCAGGAGACTGGGTGATTATGGTGATCAGGGAGTTTTTTTGTTATGTGTGTATTGTTGTGATAAGGGGAAGACATGATCTGTCACTGTGATTGATGGGTGTTGTTAGCTAGTCCAGTGGTTCTTAACCTGGGCGATAATGCCCCCCAGGGGGCAATTTCATTTTTCAGGGGGGCAGTAGAATGAAAAGGGGCGGCGTGGGGGCGCTGGAGCAAGCCAAACCTGTGAAGATGGCTGCAGCCTTTTTACAATGTGCATGAATATATATTTTCCTCCTATCTTAATTTAGTTTCAGAGTTTTCGTCTTGAAATTTTTAGTTCCTGCATTTTATGCCCTTTTTATATTTCTTTTTGAGTCTTAAAATTCGCTTGCAACTAAATCATTAAATGTTACTTTTTGGGGGCATTTCATTTTCTTGGAATTGAATTTTGTTTTCAGGGGTCATTGGATTTAAGTGTCTTAAATAAATAAGCAAATAAATAAATAGATAAATAAGATATAATAAGAAATAAGAGGGGGGCGATGATAACTTCCTCAATGGCTCAAGGGGGCGTTTCTTTCAAAAAGGTTAAGAACCACTGAGCTAGTCTATTGTGTGCAGTGAGCACCAGTCTTTGTGACTGGGTAGAGTTTGTTGACCTTTTTGCAGGCTTTGTTTTTCGAGAATACAAAACTGTTGAAAAGTTGTTCTTCAAAGCAACCGCCAGGAAAATCTTCCTTTTCTTCTCATAACAGAGACTAGTGCAGGGCTTCCTTGAGGCTCTCAAAGCAGCACAGGTATTTAGTGGGCAAGAGGGTGTTATCATACTTTCTGTGCTATTAGATGCAATGAAAAGAGGACCTAATGATAAATGCTACCAGGATGTATGCAGGAAATCCACTGTCCATACATCCTCTTTGGAGCCCATACTTAGACCTACTTTACTACAGAAATATCTATGCTTCCTCTGTGTTTCAGAAGCAAAAATTTCATCTTAGGGAGACTGTGTGACATAAGAAGAGCACTTGAAAACTTTGTGATGTAGTTCCTAGCCATGCACTGTTGATGATTATCAGCTTAGGATATCTATCAGTACACCCTGAGCACTCACAAAGTGAACAGCAACTGAGAAAATGTGGTGAGAGATGCAATAATTCCACAGCAGCTGAATCAAAGTAGAATTGTTTGCTTATGTAATAGACAACATCCATGTTGTCCTCTACTATTTATTTGTATTTATTTAAATGATCTATATGCTGCCTTTCTCCCGACAGGGGACCCAAGGCAGCTCACAACAGATAAAGAAATTTAAAAACACTATACAAATACAACTTCTTTTAAACGTTAAACATACATTAGAGTTTAAAAAAATCAACTATAATAACTGAAAGATATTTAACAACCTGTGAATTAAGAACCAGCATTCCTGAGATTACTGCTTAAATACCTATCTGAAGAGGAAGGCCTCTGCCTCCAAAGCCTGGGAACAACCAGTGAGAAGGCACTCTATTGTGTTCTCACTGAGTGAGCTTGGGAAGGTGGTAAAACCAAGAGAAAGCCCTCCACAGAATATCTTTAAAGCCAAGAAGGCTTATAATGGGTGATACAATCCTTCAAATAGTCTGGAAAAAGTCATATAAAGCTTTATAGGTAATAACCAGCAATATGAATTGGGCCCAGAAACAAACTGCAGCCAGTGAAGCTGTGGCAATAAGGGAGTTACATGTTCCCTATAACTAGCACCAGTCAGCAGTCCGGCTCCAGTATTTTGAACCAGCTGAAGTTTCAGAGTGTACTGCAGTAGTCCAAGCAAGTTACAATTAAGGCATGCATCACCATGGCCAGATCATACCTCTCAAGGAACAGGTACAACTGGCACACCAGCTTTAACTGTGAAAATGCATTCTTGGCCACCAGAGAAACCTGTATACCTGAGCTTAGTATTGAGACCAGAAGCAGACCCAAACTGTGGACCTGACTTTAGAGGGAGTGCAACTCCATATAGTACAGACTGATTCCCTACCCCTTGATATGCCTTGTGACTGACTGGGAGCACCACTCTTGTCTCGGTTAATGAGCCACCGTTCCCTCCCACCCCTGTTCCCAGGGAACAGGATTCCCTGTTCCCTGGGAACAGGGAATCTCCATATTCTCCAGCATAGGACTACTCTATATTCTCCTGCAGAGCGACATCTCTATGTGCCTCTCGAGCTCTCTTCTCGTCAGAAGAGGGCAGTTTTCCTTTTTCAATGGGAGGGGGAAGGTAAGGACTGCAGAATTAGAGAGAGAGAGAGAGAGAGAGAGAGACAGGCTCATCGAGCAGCATTTTTCACTCATCACAGACGAGTGGATGAGTGCATTTTTCAAGCCCTGTATATATGGCTAAGTACATGAATGAAACTGCCTTCTTATAATGTCCAACTTTTCTCTTTTTTCATCAACAGGGGATGTGTGAAAGTGAGGTTTTTGTTTGCCCTGAATTTGGATTAATAGCTTTGAAACAAAAAGATATCCCTTCCTCCTAAACTTGATAAACATTTTCTATGCGAAATGGTGGGTTCTCACCTAAATTGCTCAGCTCTAGAATGTTCTGAAAGAGAGACTGTGGAGATCCAGAAACCATTTGTGAGAGTCGCAGAGACTACAAAGAACTTCAACTGTTTGGCCCTAGCTTCTGGAACTCTCCCTGGAACAATCTGGCAGAAGGCTGATAACAAGCAGGCCGATTCCCAAAGCCCATTTCCCCCTTCTCTGTACATAAAAAGGCAGAGTTCCATGTCCCTCTCTACATAAAAAGGTTCCTCTGCATGCCTGTTTGCTTTGTATCTGAAGACCAGCAGTTCTCCAAAAAAACACTTGTAGTTGTCATCTTACTGGCAGAGGAATCTCTTCTCCCTGCTCAAATTCTCAACAAGGATGAACAGGGCACAGCGGAATCTCACTACTGTTGCCCATTCAGTAACTGACAGCTACAGTGAGATTCCCATACACAACACTCATTTACTAGGTTTACTGGTGTATTAAGGGACTGCCACCCTTCTAAGGTGTGGGGATTTGTAGAGTGGGAAGATATCTCAGGGCAGGGCAGAGGTGAGCTATTTTGAGGACTTACTAGGCTCACATCTCTTCCTGCTCCAGTATCTCCAATTTATTTAAATGACCTGTTTCACTGCTATGGGCTCCCTAAATTAGGGCTGTCCAGGGGATCCGAGACTGCAACTCTCATCCCTCACTCCAGGGCTATGCTACTAGGAACTAAAGGGATGTGCAGCCCAATGACCGTTAGAGGCCACATGTTCCACACCCCTCTCCAAACACCCAAAGAACTGAAATAATACAAAATGCCACAAGACAAAAAATTATACATAAAAAGCAAAAGCTACACAAACCACACTAGCAAAGCAATGTAAGTGAAAATATAAAACCTCAAAAAAAAATCAGATTTAGGTTAAGTTCTTCTTTATGCCACAATGCATTTTAAACTATGCTTTGCACAAGCTTCTGACACAGAGGGCAAGGAAACAGACAAAATACATAGGGCCTGGTTTTCCCAAGGTCAACAGTAGTAATATGTAAATTCTTACCTTCATATTGGTAAGTGTTTTCTGGAGAACTGTTGGTCTTCAAATGTTTCTGTAAGATGTCTCTTTTACTTTCTAGCTTTCGTTTCAGTCTGTTTTCATTTCTGCTTTCTTCTGTATCAGATTCTTTATCTGCATTTTTTTTATCATAAATCAAGCTTATCAGTTGTTCAATACTCCCTCGATCATACTCCGTAGACTCACCAGATTTTCTCTTGGCAGCCACTGTTTCACACTCAGAACCATTTCTTTTGTTGGGTTTTCTCTTTGTGTAGTCAAATTCTTCATCTTGGGCTTCATAATCCGAAACAGGGCTGAATTGCTGAGGTTTTCTATACCCAGCCATCAATTTTTTTGCTTTGGAAACAGAAACCTGGTAGGCTTCAGGGCCAAAAACGTAAGAGCGCAAAGAGTTCTCAAGGTGGGATTTATTTTTGGGGCCAGCAAAGAGGTGCCTCTTCTCATCCAAGGTTTCTTTGTACTTGTATAAAAAAAACTCCTTATTTTTACTGTATCGTTTCAGATAATCATTTATATATTTTTCCACCAAAATATTTAAGTCAGATTTAGGGTCTTTGCGAGAGTGAACATATGCGTAATGAAGCGACTGAATAAATCTTGTTAATTCTGGCATGATCACATGGCTTTCTTGCAACACCGATGTATTTTCATTTTTATGTTCACGTTTTTGTGCTATATTCAAAATCAAGACAGAAAAATAATCAAGAAAGAAATATCAATGGTTAAATTAACAACAAAACCATTACAATATATTTATATGTTTTCTTCAAACAGCTATAGGTAAAGTAAATAGCTGACCCCAACCACTTTACTTTTACAAAAGTCTGTGAGACAAGTTTGAGGTTAATTTTCCAAATCAGGATATATGCAGGGGGCTGCAAAAATAAGTATAACCAGAGACTATTGGTAGAAGTCCACTTTTTATTTCTTCTGCAGGGCTGGACTTGTATGGAGGGTCTGTGCTCTGTATTACTGCAAACCAACATCCAAGGAGAGCACAAACTGACATTTTTTTACAGAATTTCTTTTCTGGCAAGGGACATAAAGGGGCTGCAAAAACAGTCTTGGCAGCTTCATGCAGCTCCAAAGGTGCGCTCTGCTTATTCTTGGTTCAAACCAATCTCAATTACCCAGAGCTAATCCAACGTTCTCATTGAAGCTACAGCTTACATTTTCCCCCTCTCCTTCAGACCTCCTTGATCCACAAATTTTTCACAATCCCATTGCCTTTTTGCTTTCTGAGAAAATGTCACACCTCCTTACCTGTTCTTTACCACTATTCAATACCTTTTTTCAATCAAACTCAAATTAACTTTTTAAAAGGCATTTTGCCATTCCGATTCCAAATTATGCCCTGATAATAAATGAAAATTGTCACAATAACACATTCAAATCAGACCTCTGTAATGTACCCTCTAATTTTCAACCCCGCTGGGCAGGGCTCTGCCTCTCCCACACACGATTTCACCCCTGCACACATGTGCCTCTGCCCCCCCCTCACGTGCAGAGTTCCGTCACAGCCAGACCCAAACATGATCACTGTGCAGAGGAGGAAGAGAGCTGCGCAGAGGGAGGCGGAGCCATGCACCCATGCACGTGCCTGGCTCAGAGGGAACCTTGGACTTCTGTAAACATGATCCTCTCACAATAAAAGTATCATTGTTTAATACATTATTCTTATTTTTATTAAATATTATCTTGTAACAATGTAAACCACCTTGGGTCCCTTTTAAGGAAGAAGACAGGGTAAAAATATTTTAAATAAATTGATAAATAATTTTTCTGAACTGAAAGAGAAATGTATTTTTAACACAATAAAGAAATACAAAGCTAATAACAGAACTTTTATAATATTTCTACGAAATAAATGGTCTCACATAGTATATTTTTTATAAATTTCCAAGGAAAACATATTGGCAACAAAAGTTTATATTTACCCTATGCTTTCAAATCATTTTTTAAAATTTGAATGTAATCCTCAGCAGGAATGGGGACATGAGCTGCGAGATTCACTGTCAAGCCTTACTTGGTGGTGACTCAACTTGGACTTGACTTGGGTTTTGATTTTCAGTGACTCGGATGCAACTCGCGACTCTGCACCCACCCATTCCCTTTCTTTTTTCTGAGGAAGAAAGCTTGTTTTTAATAGGGACTTGGACCCAAAGATTTGCCAACATCCCTGATCCTCAGGCTGTGATAAGACACAACATCTAAAACCAGTCATACAACTGTACAAAAGTAATACTGCAAGAATACTATGGTCTACAGAACCAATGATCTAAAAGTCTGAATTGCCCTGGCTAATAATGGTATTTTAAACGGAGCACCACAGCAACGTGTAACTGTCTTCTTTTCAGAACAAGATAAAGTGTCAAATCCAGCAGCCTAAGTAAAAGCCATCTTACTACCCAATGTCACTGTTCCTTTACACAAGGTGCATAAACCTTTTCTGTATGAGATGCCTAAAAACAGGACACTATTAGGAACTACTACCGGTTATGCCTATGGGTAATGAATAATACATCAAATAATTTCTGTATCACCCCCCCCCGCATTCTATCCCAGACTGTTTCTGCAAGATTCTGAAAAGGTGAGAGAAAATATTTCTCTTCCAGGACAAATTACTTTTTCCTTAAAAATTTTTGTTTTAAATATATTTCTAATTTTTTAATTTTAAAATGTTTTGCAAAAAAAATTAACTCAAAATTTTGGCATTATTTTATAAGCCTTTGAAGTGCCCTTAATTGCATCTATATAATCTGGTGCCATATAATAGGGCCTGGCTTGGCCATTTATCCCAGACATAGTCTTTTCATTAGAGATTAATGGGCCTTGTGACATAAAGATCTTTACAACTCTGGCTGTTTTATCAGCTGCAGCCATGTCTTGAGAGTAACAGGCCAATGACAGTGGTACAAACTCTGCTAACCTCCTACTTGGGTTACTCTGAAGTATTCTATGTTGGCCTGCCCCACAACACTTTGGAAACTCCACTTAGTGTCAAATTTGAATGCCAGACCTTTTGTCTATTTCTATCCAGTTAGTTCACATCACTTCAATATTAAAATAACTGTTACTTCACCAGTACTAACCCATTAACGATTAACACATTTCCACATTTAACACAAATTTAGACGAAGTCACTATACCTCTAGGATTCCGAAGCAGAAACAGAGCTTGCAGGGTATGAGGCCTTCCCATCCGGTTCTCTGATAACAAGAGGAGGAAATCACCATTAAGTCATGGCTTGTAAACAAAAAGCCTTAGCTGCTAAAAAGAAAATCTGGTGCATACCATAAGGTGACGCTGTCTGGTAAGAAGAAAGCAGCAAAAGGTATCCTCTATCTATCAGTGGTTTTACAATAACCTGCAAATAAAGTACACACACTATAAAGATGAGATTCTTACCCTAAACGCTGCATTTGAAATATGGGGCACCGTTACAGTAAAGTGTACACTGACAAAGGGTTTATGTAGTGAAACTATACTCACTAATTTGTCTGTCTCTAGCTTTTGAAGTAAACCTTCTAAATTACTTCCCGATCTAGTCTTTTCCACAACTTCATACAGACTGCAATACAGTCCATTCTTGAACTCTGAGAAAACAGAAAGAATAGCTATCAATAAACCATCTACAGTATCTTGGTAGCAAAAAACAAAACAATTTTCTACTTATGCCAGCTTGGATCCTTCTTTCTTATTTATGCCACCTTTCTCCCAATGGAGGGAACCTCAATTAAAACAATGAGACATTAAATATACTTTTACAGTTACCAGTATTACAATAAACACTTAAAACATACACCTCTAAGATCAGTAGAAAAATATAAATACACGTGCGGGCGTGCACACACACATACACACAAAACTTCATGTAACACTTGCCTCAAAAGGAATATTTTTGCTTGCTGATGGAAAGACAAGAAGGAGCCAACATAGCCTCCTGAGGATGGAGGAAACACTGGAAGGAAATTCATGTAATGGGATATCTCCTGCCTAAGAAGCTATCATACAGGACCAGGAAACCCCTTCTGGTCTGCCTGAAATAAGGAGCAAGAGTATGCAGTGGATGTGTGTACTCCAAACTTCAGAAAGATACATTGTGCAGTCTCTTCTCTGCTTACACAAAGGGATGCCACTTGCTCTTCAGTGGCAAAACCCTGTTCTGTAAACTACACCTGTGTAAGAGCAATAATGACATAGACAATGGAGGACATTCCACACAACTTGAAAAGCCTTCCTATCTGTTACTGGCATAGGCACTTAGAAGAGGGTCTCCAAGCTGGCTGCACTTTGGCCAATACCTTGGCTGCAGCATCCTAACAGAGTTCCAGATAGTGAACGGCGTTTTATGCAATAAGCCAGTCCTGAGAATCAGTGGCCCTTTAATTAAATTATATGTCATTAAGTCAATTCCAACTTATGGCATTCCTATTGAGGACTCTCTAGGTATAGAGGTCTTCAGATGTTGATAGAGTGACAGGTGGATGGGAACTGTAGTTCAATGCCATCTGGCAAGCCACAGTTTCATAGTCCTGCTACAGATACAAGTTTGACATCATGTGTGAGGTGCCAACACCACACCCAAGTCATTAACCTCCTTTTTAAGGATGAATGGGACACTGGATACTCACCATGAAGGTCCATTCTGTGCAGGTGCAGAGGAGGAATCCATAATAATGAGTTACATTTATCATCAGTTAGAGATGCAGAAAATCACATGGCCTAAAGTTTGACTGACAAGCTGTCCCTTCCCCTTTCAGTCTCCTTTCATGATCAAGTTAAAGAATTAAGCTAGAGGAGAAAGCAAGGGAGTGCACAAACGAAGGAGTAAACCAGAGCTTCACTTTATTTTTTTTAACTAAATAGTTGGTGCAGCCCAACAGATCAATTGGAGCATCTGACAGTGGAGCCATTTTGGCTCCTGGGAGAGGGACCAGCTGAAAACAGAATTCATAGAACTGAGGGAATTGTATGCCCTGCCATTTGTGCAGCTTTGGGCAAACTAAACAATAACAGAGCGCAATCAGAATCTTCTTGGCAGCACATGATTATTAATCATATAACTATCAGAACAAATGCCACATTTGAAGAGGATCATCTCCTTTGGACATGCTCAGATTACAGAAAGAAAATTCACAGGTGGGAGTGGATTCCTCATCCACCTGAACCCAAAGTGGAACTCCATGGTAAGTGTCTAGTGTCCCATTCTCTGGCTGGTGCAAAAAAGGATCCAAAGAATGGGACACAATTACTTAGATGACCTTAAGATGAGTTACAGCTATCCAAGAATGGCATACCACGTTCTAAAACAACATTTGTTAAGGTGGCCTGCATTGCCTTATGGAGTACAGCTCCAACTTGCAACATCATCAGAATGTAATAGGTATACTCCAAATGATAACCTTTCACATATCTATGGATGTGGAGCAATCTGTGAAGTATCAGAAATGTGCAATTCTGAGTGCTATGGGCTACTGCGATACACTCCTTAGAGTTCAGTGTGCAAAGCAGATCTGGAAACACTGGAACTTAATAATATAGGATAGAGTAATAGAGTAAGACATCAATATATCTAAAATGCTTCCTTTATGACTCTATATCAAGAATCTACACACACTGATATTAAGTCAAATTCTATTTAAATGTATGTGCATAACTAAGAGAAGACAAATGATTTCTAGAAAGAAGGGAAATATACATAAAAACAGCAATTCAGATGGACAATTAATGTGTCTTCCTAAAACCTAGAAAGATGCTTAGTGCGTCCTCTATTGCCCCAATAGGTAGACAGTGCTACACTGCTTTTATTATTTGACATAATGAATGGCAACACAGAGAAAGCACTACCAGAACTTTCAATCTCCCAGGACACACTGTTATGAATCTCAAAGTGGTCACTGTAGAAAAAGGGAATTACAAAGGGAAAATCAAGAGGTAGACAACAGAAATCGGCTACATAAACAAGCTCCAGTGCATCTCTTAGGGACTCAATAACGTTTAAGGTTTCTTAGTGTTCTCTATATTAAAAACACAGCTTCTTGTAATATGAGTGTAAGATAGATGTGCTCCTTTACAGATTCAGCTCAGTACTATAAACAGCTTTGCATTCCTATGACTGTAAAGTCTACTTGTCATTGCAATTCATATCTGCTAATTAACAGCTTGATATTCACATTCCTATGTTAATGAACCACTGTCACTTCGGCTATCTTTTCCTCACTTGCATATGACTCCCACAAACATGGAATACAAGGAACTTGTATTTGTACTCCTGGGTTTAAAGAATGGGATTTTGATCCATAAAAGCTTATACTGAAATAAAAGTTTAGTCTGAACAGCTGCAAATTTATCTTTAATTTTACTTTTGTTTATTATTATTATTTATTATTATTTAGTTGATTTATATCCCGCTCATCTGGGGAAGTCTTCAGAGGCTTATATATTATGAAAGCTTCCCCTGCACTATCGGAAGACTTTGGGGGGGGGGTCTCCCACAACCATGATCGCCAGCTTCTGAAGCCTCTGAAGACTTACCCAGCACCATCGGAGGACTGCCAGGGGACCTCTGAAAGCGGCAATGGCGGTTGTGAGGGACCCCTGCCAGTCCTCCGATGGTGCTTCCCCAGCTCCCTACCTGGTAAGTGACTTTTTCAGAGTTTTTGGCCCATAGGAACACAATAATTAAATTTCAATGTATTCCTATGGGAAAACGCGACTTGCAAGACGAACATTTCGCAAGATGACAGGACTTGTGGAACGAATTGTTTTTGTCTTGCGAGGCACCACTACATGCCTCTCAAAATAATACCTTCAAACAGCTTCCAAAATCTTGGATGATAAGGGTAACCAAGCCCTTATCCTCAGACCTTTTTTCCCTGCTTTAGAGCATTCCATGATCAGAGGACCATACAAACTACGTCCTGATGAGAACAGAACATCCTTTCTGCCACTGCCAACAACTACATTGTCCCATTCCATTTGAAACTGAGGTGACCACTGCCTGACAAGTTTTAAAACAGGCACATGGAGTGGACATCTACTGAACAACTAGGTGGGCTACACAAGCACTCCAACTGGCCACTTGTTCAGCAAGAAGATGGCACTTGAAGCAGTTATTTGAGCCACTAGACAGCCACTGTACAAACTGAGCAGGACATTCAGCAGGCAGCAGCCATGGCATGAAAATATTTCCTTTTCTTCTCTTTTAAAGACTGACATGTCTTCTTCCTACTATATCAATTAAGGAGATAGTAAAGGTAAATGCAAAGATTCCCCTTGACAATTTGTCCAGTCGTGTTTGACTCTAGGGCGTGGCGCTCATCTCCGTTTCTAACCCATACAGCCAGCGTTTGCCCAAAGACAATGTTCCGTGGTCACATGGCCAGCATGACTAGAGACAGAACGCCATTACCTTCCCATCGTGGTGGTACCTATTTATCTACTTGCATTTGCATGCTTTCGAACTGCTAGATTGGCAAGAGCTGGGACAAGTGACAGCAGCTCACTCCGTTGTGTGGATTCGATCTTACGACTGCAGGTCTTCTGACCTTGCAGCACAGAGGCTTCTGCAGTTTAACCCGCAGCGCCACCACATCCCTACATACAAGGAAGGAAAAGATGGAAGTTTGTTTTTGTTTTTATCTCAGAAAGAATGTGAGAAGAAAATTAAATCAGTGATGTGAGGTAGAAAATCCGAGCAATAAACTAGACATTAAGGATCACAAAGAGATAGAAACCAATCTCTGGACGATAGCTCTGGAAGACAGCAGAAAGGAAATTGGAAAATGGGGGCAGAGAAGGCAGCTTGACAGTAAACCTTTAGGTTATGTAGGTCCCTGCCTCTGTAGTGGTGCTGGGTGTAACCTATTCCTATGGATTATTCCTCACAGCAATCAGAGAATGAGATCCTGTTCAGAGTTGATAAGGTGCAGATTTTCATATCCACTAAAGCACTGGTTCTTAACCTTGGGTTACTCAGGAGTTTTGGACTGCAACTCCCAGAAGCCTTCACCACCAACTGTGCTGGCTGGGGTTTCTGGGAGTTGCAGTTCAAAAACATCCGAGTAACAAAGGTTAAGAACCACTGCACTAAAGCACCCAGTAAAAGTACACATATTTTGTCCAAATGAGTCACACTGTTAGCCTCCATGCATTTAGTAGGTTGCACCATATAAGATAATAATAATATCCAGTACACAAGACTGAAAACTGCCCAATTACCTGTTAAAAAGCTGTCTTTAAAATAAATGGTCCTCATCTGCTGCTGGAAGGATAAGCAAGAGGGGGCGCCTGCCTGCCTATCTGCCTATTAAATATCTATACCTCATCATCTAGTGACATGCCATTACTCAGGGCAGTTTCCACCAAAAGCATAGCATAAATACAAAATAAAAACCATATTCTCACCACAGAATATAAAAAGTGACTCACAAAAGGCACAAGATGGCAGCCACAAGCAAAAAACCCCCCAGTAATATAGAAAAATAAATAGAATCAAAAATAACAATTATAAAGGAAGGACAGCTTGAAATGCCTCTATGAAGAGCAACGTTTTAATGTGCTTTCTAAATGTCAGGAGAGTAGGGGCCTAGCACACCTCCATAGCTGGAACATTCCACAAGGAGGCAGCCACCACCAAGAAGGCCTGGCCCCTGGTTACAGACTTCCTGGCATCCCTTGGGGTGGCCACCTGCAACGTCAAAGCTTAGGAGGTGTAAGTGGTATGGGTGCTGGATGCCAGGGAGACAAGTACCTAGCTTCTTGACATTCAACAATTTGTCACCTCTATCCCTTTGTGTTCCAACCACTACACTGCTGTTTTATAATCTCAAGCCACTGGCTCAAATAATGATGAGAAAGCATATACTTATAAATCACAGCAGGTTCTTGTATGGCGAAATTATGCTTTCCTTTCATTACAAGTCTTACCCTCCTTTTCTCCGGAGTATGCTTCTTTACTCAGTATACGTGGTGGGACAGCCTGTGTCAAACGATCAATGCTCATAACCATCTCAACATCAAGTTTTTCAGGACTAAATGTTAAAAAATAAAGAAATTAAGTATTCTGAATATTTTACTCCTCAGATATTTTTTCAAGCACAATGGTTAAAAAATAAAGATGCTATTCCCGAGATATTAATCATATCTTTAATTACTGTAATTTTTTCTATTCTTACGCCTTCTTAAAAGTCAGTGCATGAATTTTGCAGAAGTGAGATTTTAAAAATACACTGGTAATAGAAAAGAAAATCTGATGTTTTGCACTTTCAAGATTTCAGTTTGGTCTAAAATACTGATTTCAGGTCTGCTTTTGAAATTTCAGTACTTACAGTTTGCAGGGGAGCAAAGGACATGTTTCTGATTTCAAAGCAGCATGGCATACAAGTGTCCCTCTGTTTAAAAGCTGCCCATTCCATAACGTGTAACTTGTTTTATCTGTATTAAAAATGGAACAATGATCTTTGTAATTCTTTTGAAAATAAAAGTGCTGACATTTCACTTTATTGAAGACAAAAGAAATAATTTCTCCATCCCTCCTACATCAGACATCAGTTTGATTTTGCTTCCATTCATGCTGGTTGTAGGTTTGTGTGTGTGTGTCCCTGAGCAGAAAGGTTCCTTCCTCCTGAAGGGAGAGGGTAGATGAAAGATTATTTAGATTATGGACTCTGGCAGCAACAAGGGCATCTCCTCCCCTACAGCTCTTAATATAGCCTTATAATGGGCATACATTTCCCCTCTTTCCTTCCACTTAACATTCTTCTTTCCATGCTACTGGAATGAAGATAATGGCATCCAATTGTGACCTTCCAAAGGGCAGGTTTCATGGGAAATGCAAACTTTTGTTGAGATGAAGGTATCTATCCTCTAGTGTTTGTGAAAATGTGCAGCTATCTCCTCACGTCCGTCATGCAGATATTCTCCAAAAGGTATTTACTACCTTTCACAGTTGATGTCTTATATACGTGGTTCAGACAGTCAAACAATTATTTGATTATGGGTACAGTTAGGTCCAGGACGTGGTGGCGTTGTGGGATAAACCGCTGAAGCCTGTGCTGCAGGGTCAGAAGACCAGAAGTCGTAAGATTGAATCCACGCAACGGAGTGAGTTCCCGTCGCTTTGTCCCAGCTTCTCGCCAACCTAGCAGTTCGAAAGCATGTAAATGCGAGTAGATAAAGGAGGTGGGGTGGAGCAACCGGCAGCGAGAACAGGGGAATTCTCAGGGCTCTGAGAACCCCTGGGTTTTATTCCGAGTCAGTGGACCCCCCCAAGAAAGGGGGGGCAAGTTTCTATAGGAGAGTGGGGCTGGCAGCAGGGGAGGTGGAGACACCTGACTGCAATCTGTTTTTTCGGAGGGGTTTCCTTTCCTCAATTACAACTGACTCGTGAAATCGCCATGATGAATTGTTGCGTAGCTGTCCGGAGAGGGGAGAAAGGAAGATTTATGATTTGACTGCATGAACAGAAGTCGAATGGCTATTTTTATGGCAAGTAACAGACCAGATGTTTTGTTTCTCTTTGGAAAGTTTAATTATGGAGACGATCTCTTAAGCGGCAGAGGATCTTGGCAAACTTTGGAGGGTTTTCTTAGAATTTAGAATTAAGAAAGTGAAACTTGTCTTTTCCACCCTAACCCTCCCTCCTAAGGTTTGGCTTCTTATAAAGTAGAAGTTTAAGAATCTAGAAGGACTACGAACAGCTTAAATTTATGGAACCTTACTCTCAGCCATAAAGGAGGATTATACGTAAATTAAACAGTTACTTTTATGACCAGAGTGTTCTCCGTAAGACTCTGAATCAGTTCTCGCCAAGGAGTGAGGAGGGAAAGCTGAGCAAAGTTTGACTGTCTCACTCTTATGGTTTTTGGATGAAAATTTAAGGGCGAGACTTTGGGATTTTAAAATGGAGATTTATATGATATGCTCTCTTCAGGAATTTCAATCTAATCTCATCAACCATCTCAAGGCTCAATTTTTAGAACTGGAGACAGATATTAAAGCAATACTTCTTGGCTTGGACATTATGATAGAGACGGGAGACAAACAGACAGCATATTCTGAATCAGCTGAACAACTATCATTGCCAGAGAGAGAGGGAGAGACCACTGTTCCTAAGGAGGAGACGGGAGATGAAATGGTTGACTACTTTGAACTAATTGAACAATGGCCACTGGAGAGCCAGAGGGAGACTTTTTTTTTAAAAGCAGAATGAAATACTTAAAAATGAGGAGATGAGGGGTGGAAACAAGGTGGGAAAGCACATGGATTTTATCCTGATGGAAAATGATGCTAAAGGGAAGACATGGGTGTATTTGGAGGCAGAAATTTATGATCAGAGGTCAAATAGATCTGTGTTGCTCGGAAATCAAGATACGGATTATACTGAGAGGAAGTTAGTAAATTGTATAGAAAATGCCTTAAAGAAATTTCATAGATGGAATTTTAAAATTGACAAAAGGGGAGTAAGAAATCAATCTTGGAAGTACGATACTGGAGTTGAGAAGCAAAAATGAAAGGGGGGGAAGTAACCTGCGGATTAAATGAAAAAAATTCTTGGTTTTGAGAGATATATAGTCATACAGAAAGCAATATGAGTTATTACACTATGAGCAATTTTAGCTAGATGAGAAGCTAAAGGGTAGATAAACATATGCAGTTATGAATTCTACAAAGGTTAGTGAATAATAGTAATAATAGATGCTTTGGTTCTTATGGTATATATATAGAGCTTAAATATGAGTGTTGATTATATAGACAAGACTAGTTTTGTTTTTGTACCTGTAAAAGTGGGGATCTTTCAGAAATGTATTAAGCGGACCTAGAGCTTTTGTGTGGGGAAGTGTGTGTGGTTAAGCTACCTTTATGATGAAATTAGAATTGTTTATGATAAATATTGGATAGAGGGGTACGCAGGTGAAAGAATCTATAGAGACTTTATATCCATGATTCATACATGGAGCAAAGAAATATAACAAAAATGGGAAAGTTACTTGCTGAATATCTTAAATGGTTGATAAGTACAGGTAATGCTTAAATTAGATTACATATTCTGATCACAATTGTTTAGAAGGTATTGATGAAAAGCTAGAAACATGAAAATATTAAGTAACTTATGAACTATAGTTGGTCTATGCAATTAAGAGTGGCTTGAATATAAGATCAATACAGGTTTAAGTTTATATATTGACAATTAATGTATGTTAATCTTTGGGATTTATGTAGTCAGACTTATATATCAAACGCATATGGCCTAAAGATGTTTAGTAGGGCAATATGGTTTGTGTAGTCAGTATTATATGTTAGAGGAATATATGGAAAATATTCTCCGTGATTATGTGTTCTGTATTTGTCTTATATGTTTGTTTGTGTTATTAATTAATTAAAAATGCGAGTAGATAAATAGGTACCATCTCGGTGGGAAGGTAAAACGGCGTTCCCTAGTCACGCTGGCCACGTGACAACGGAAAACTGTCTTCGGACGGGGGCTCGCTCTACGGCTTGAAAAGCGGGATGAGCACCGCCCCCTAAAGTCGGACACGACTGGACTGAAAATGTCAAGGGGAACCTTTACCTTTCACTTATGTCCAGAAATAATTGGACACTGCCACAAGTTTTGTTATTTCAGCTGTTGACCAAAATAAATTCAAGTTACAGTTAAATAATTAATATGAGCTTAAAGTGCAGACTCTCAGCTTTAATCTGAGGACATACACATCCAAATTGGAGGAGGGATTTAGGAACGACAACTCTTTGACATATAGCCCCCTCTTTTTCAAGGGACCAAAGTAGCAGGAACAGTAGGAGTGGCCAAATCAACAGTATGATACATTCAAAGAAAAAAGAACATTTTCGTGAGCTCTGCAACACAAAAAGGCTGGGAAGTCCATGGAAGACAACAGTGGTGGATGGTCGTGGCATTATTTCTATGGTAAAGAAAAACCCCTTCACAACATCCAGCCAAGTGAAAAACACTCTCCAGATGGAAGGTACTGTATATTGTTATCCAAATCTACCATAAAGAGAAGAATTCATAGCAGCAAATACAGAAGGTTCACCACAAGGTGCAAACCATTCATAAGCCTCAAGAACAGAAAGCCCAGATTAGACTTTGCCAAAAAAAAAATAATAATAATCTTTAGAAGCCAGCCTAATTCCGGAATAGCATTCTTTGGAGAGAGATGAAACGAATCTCAATCTGTACCAGAATGATGGGAAGAACAAAAGTATGGTGAAGACTTGCAACGGCTCATGATTCAAAGCCTACTACGTCAGCTATAAAACATGGTAGAGGCAGTGTGGTGGCATGCGCATGCATGGCTTCCAATTCATTCCAGACTTCAAGCAGTCATGGCCTGCAAAGGATTCTCTACAAAGTATTAAAAATGAACATCTTATTTATGATTGTGTTAATTTGTCCAATTACATTTAAGCCCCTGAAATAAGAGGACTGTGTATGAAAATGGTTGCAATTCTTAAATGTTTTATACAATATTTTTGTTCAACCTCTTGAATTAAATATGAAAGTCTGCACTTCAACTGCAGCTTGACTGTTTCATTTCAAATCCATTGCGGGGGCATACAAAGCCAGAATTATGAAAATTGTGTCAGCATCCAATTACTTCCGGACCTAAATGTACATGTCTGAGGTTCATAACTACCCTTGCACATTCAAATTCCTTAACTTTAGTTCACAACATTATTTGCCATGGTACCAGAATAAGACATATGATGGCTACTGTAAATCAAAAATGTACACTTTTCCCTTGAATTGCATAGGACTGAACAGCACAGTTTTGGTTATACATGGATTTTCAAAAATGATAAATAACTATTCCAATAAATACTGTACCCCTGGCCATCCAGAACCCCATGGGTTCAACACTGAAGGCATCAAAGTAGTTTACTGCCCCCAAATACATCACCTCTAATTGTGCCTCTAGATCAGAAGTCAGGAAAGGATTGTCAACACAATAGAAGAGAACCCCAATAGAGATAATTGATCTCTCTCTCTCTTTCTCTCTCTGCGTGTGTATGTTTTCTAGTTATGCTTTGGGGCAGTGGTCCCCAACCTTTTCCAAACTGCGGACTGGTTTAGCACCGGTGGTGGTGGTGTGTGTATGTGTGTCCATGAACGGGTGGGTGTGGGCACCTGTGCGTTCGTGGGCATGGGCACCTGTGTACAGGTGGGTGGGGCATCCATGGGTGCATCTGAGGGCCCATCTGTGCGTGTGTGCGTCCGTGTGTGTATGTGGGGGGCATACATGCATGCATGGGGGCGTAGGATCTGTCTCTGTGGCCTGGTCCTGCCAAGGCCGGGGGTTGGGAACCCCGGCTGTGGGGGACATAAAGAGCTATACACGGATTTTGAACTACATGGGGATCTACTACTATAACTCTCTGAAGCATTCACAACTAGCTTTGTTGGTCAGGAGTTGTGGGAGCTGTAGTCCAATAACATCTGGGGAACCAAGTTGGGAACCACTGGTTTAGAGGCATATACTGGCAAGACACATCTTACACAAATTCTAACCAGAACTGCATGCTTATCAGGTTGTTTCCTAGCTTAATTTAGCTTCAACAACCTAAATCTTGTCTCCAGAGATCTTGAAGAATCTTTTAATACCACCCTCCAATTCCAAAGAATGGGGATAAGAGAGACCCTATTTAAGTTTCCTTTAAATTTCCTAAATTTAGAGGAAAGACTGTGTACAGAAGTTGTGAAATATACATATATACTGTCTTCCATGTCGCCCATCTCTTTCCTATAAAAGTTAAGACAGAATTATGCTTCCAGCATTTGGGGATTAAGACTTCTTACTGTTTCCACTACAGTTATAATTTTATTTTTAGTTTTAAAGGTCTTGTTTTTACTTGAATTCTCATATTATACTCTACTACAGTAGTACCTTGATTTACAAATTTAATGCATTTTCTGAGACGTTATGTAATGTGAAATATTCGTAAACTGAAATGCAGTTTGCCATAAGAACGGGGGCGGTGCTATAATAATAATAATTTATTGTCATTGTAAGTATATACACAGTATACCCATACAACGAAATTCACAAACCTCCAGGCACAATGCATCCTGGGGAAACTTCCTTCATATTGCAGAAAAAAATTGTAAACTGAGACATTATTTTCTATAGATTTCCATTCGTAAACTGAAAATTACATTAACCGAGGCATTCGTAAACCAAGGTACTACTATACCTGCTCAAGGCCAGTCTATGCATTTTGTTAACAGATTATTATTACTCCTACCTATGAAGGCTTTAGATGAAAAGGCAGAATATGGTATGCTGGGAGGAGGGGAAGATAATTAAGGGCAAATCTCAACGGCACAAAGTTAAGGAAATGAGTCTTATCATTCCCTTTCTTGAAGTAAGATTACCATATATTATAGTAAGAATCAAGGCGACACTGCCAGGACTCGATGTGGAGGGGTGCAGAGAAAGTGCAACATGCACCCGGAAGCTCTGGAAACACCATAATCATAGGCCACACATTTAGCCAGAGTGGTCAACCAGACCAGATGGGTGGGATATAAATGAAATGAAATCAAATCAAATCGATGATTAGATAGATTAGATAGATTAGATAGATTAGATAGATTAGATAGATAGATAGATAGATAGATAGATAGATAGATAGATAGATAGATAGATAGACAGACAGACAGACAGACAGACAGACAGACAGACAGCTTCCAGCTACTAGCCTGCAGGTTTATTCAGTAAACAAATTCTTACCAGCGTTCTTATCCATATTAGAATTCTTTGATCTACAAGCAAACACATAAAGTTAAATTAAAAACCCTGGGACAGCAAAAAACCCTTACATGTATCTTCCCCTTCTGTTTATTAACTACTGATCTACCATTCATTAAACTTCTTTTATATCTTCCATGTGTCAGTCTCTTGGCTTTTTAAGCTAAACAACCTTGAAGATGACATAAATAGACACAAATTTATACAATTAAAAGTAATGGTACAGAATATAGCTGTTATTTACCACTGACTAGTACACAGTTCCACAATAAAAGACTCAGTTCACCAGAACTATAATTATATTCTGAACTCATCCTGATACCTTTACCAATGACAGTTGTTATCTTAAAATTTCACATGTTTCAAGATACTAGATTAATTGTTGTCATAAGTAAACTGATTTCCAAAACCATCTTGAACTTTAAGGACAAAATATAGCATATGGCCTCAAACAGAAAACATGCTTAGGTTATTTCCAGGCTTTGTCCCATAACCAGGCATTAAACCAAACAGACATGATTTAACTAAGGCAAAGATGACAGTTGCCAGATCGGAATGACTCAGAAAAGTTCACTTCCAGCACACTGAACAGATTCTTCCATGCTCTGTTACCATCTAGGAACAGTGCAGGTCAATGTGAGTGCTCCCATATTACCATGATACTTTATAAGATGCACAGCTTGTGCATGCTCACCAATACAGTCTTTACTTTTTCCTGTAAGAGTGGAAGAGACTCACAGAATTGGCTGGGATGAAGATGAGGGGCTGAATTAGCATTGAGAGGGAACTCTATAGGGCCCTGCAAGAGGTACAGGCACCTGGATCTCTTGACACTGTCCTCATTCAAGTTGGTCATTACATGCATATCACAACTTTTAAAGATCTTCAACTGTTTAAGAAACCAACTTGCATTTTCCTCAATACCTGCCATATCCCTTTGAAGGTATGGGCTTCTGCCCTACCACTCAGACAAGCAAGTAAATACACCTGAATTAAACACTTGTTCACTGTGTGCAAGCAATTAGGAACAGACACTTCAAGTGTAACTACACATAACAGATAGAGATTGGAGCTCCGTATTTGTATCCCTGGGGAGAAAAATATGAAGCACAGCACCAGTGGTGCCATGGAGGTCCATTCCCTCCCCACAAAACCAGCCCAGTCCACTCACTAGGCTCTGCACAGCATGCATGCATCCATCGGCACTGACATTATACCAATCACGGACATTAGTCCAACCAGCTATGCCTTGCCTCTTTGTGCAGCCAACCACTCCAGCAAAGAGACGGGATGACAAGTCTCTCTACTCAACTGCTCTGAATAGCGGGACAAAGCCGGTTGGGTTACTTCCGGATTGGTGCGATATTGCCACATACGTATACACACACAAGCTGTGCAGAGCCTACTGAATGGACGGCTGGAGAGGAAATGGACCTCCATGGCACTTATGGTACCATATTTTGTATTCATATCCCCAGGGATATGAATACAAAACTCCCATCTCTAATAACAGATTATGCCCAGCAAGTAACAAATTAATTAGTCTAACAACTGAAGTCTTCCACACTAAATAATACCTCATGAAAACCTTAACAAACTTACCTTGCTTGAGATGAATACTTCTGTCCCTTTTCTTCTTTGAAAGAAAATGATACAACAGCATACGGACATATATGTCTTGGTCTTTGTCTGATCTCATCAAAGCCATATTCATAAAAATAATACTGCAAATAAATAAACATGTATAAACTTGATGTCTCAGACATCTGCAATATTATTAGGTGTTTTTATTGTCTTTTTTAATGTCTTGTTTCACTGCTGAAATCAAAGTACAGTACTAGCTATCATAATATTGTTCTACCCATGGAAAAAACACTAAAAGCACGCTGTTGTTGTTTAATTGCTAAGTTGTGTCTGACTCTTCGTGACCCCATGGACCAGAGCACGCCACGCCGTCCTGTCCTCCACTGCCTCCCGGAGCTGGGCCAAATTCATGTTGGTCGCTTTGATGACACTATCCAACTATCTCATCCTCTGTCGTCCCCTTCTCCTCTTGCCCTCACACTTTCCTAACATCAGGGTCTTTTCCAGGGAGTCCTCTCTTCTCATGAGATGGCCAAAGTATTGGAGCCTCAGCTTCAGCATCTGTCCTTCCAGTGAGCACTCAGGCTTGATTTCCTTTACAATGGATCGGTTTGTTCTCCTTGCAGTCCAGGGGACTCTCAAGAGTCTCCTCCAGCACCACAATTCAAAAGCATCAATTCTTTGGCGGTCAGCTTTCTTTGTGATCCAGCTCTCACATCCATACATCACGACAGGAAAAACCATAGCTTTGACTATTCGGACTTTTGTTGGCAAGGTGATGTCTCTGCTTTTTAAGATGCTGTTGAGGTTTGTCATCGTTTTCCTCCCAAAAAGAAGGCGTCTTTTAATTTCGGGGCTGCTGTCACCATCTGCAGTGATCATGGAGCCCAAGAAAGTAAAATCTGTCACTACCTCCATATCTTCCCCTTCTATTTGCCAGGAGCTGATGGGACCAGTGGCCATGATCTTAGTTTTTTTGATGTTGAGCTTCAGACCATTTTTTGCACTCTCCTCTTTCACCCTCATTACAAGGTTCCTT